CGCGTGGCTTGTAGAGTTATAAAGTTACCATGAAGCGAAACGCTATATCATAAAGCAACAGCATAAATTGTTAGAGACTGAGATGCTCAAACACGTTCAGCACTCGTCATTTGACAATATGAAGTAGCTTGACTAAGCGGTTTGCCAACGATACTTCACCTCGCCAAGATGCTAAATATATTAATAGGAGAATTGTTAAGTGCACGCTCACACAATTACTAAATGTACGCCTTTCAAAATCCATTAATAATTTTTGTTGAATGCACGACCGTAAAATTATCAAATGTACTCTTTTTCAAAACCATTAATTCTTGTTGTTAAATGGACCCTCTTGTGTAGGTAAGGCATTTAAATTGTTGCTCATCAGGCGACAGTCTTGTCGTCAAACACACAAGACGATGTACGTGTCTGGAACGTGTGAGAAGAGTGTGGGGCTGCTGAAAACTCGCTGATGAGGTCTTTTGCTTTTTGGGTTGATATGTGCCAGCTTGATATCGAGCGGCAAACAATATATTGTATCATGTTTTACAGCAGGATCAAGGCTACTAGAGCCACCAATCAAGTACAGTGGTCGCCCTGCAGCGTGCAAAGTGCAACAAAACAATTTTATAACTGAACAAAGAATCAAGACGCCACGGACGATTGCGCTATGCGCCTAAACAATTGCACATACTACCCATAATCGGGGATGAACGAAGTGTGGCTTGTGATCGTTGAGAAAGAGTCGGAAAACTTGTGCTTGCAGGACAACGAGTTTGTGCGACGTGTCAGTATAATGTGAAGGTATTGATCGAAAATTCTATGCTATAGATGGCAATTAGAAATAACAGATCTTACTGTTTACTTTCCTGCATTATTTCGCTTGTCGACAGATGGAAGAAATGAAAGAAGTTTTCGCAAAAGGCTTCCCTACAGGTCACATAATGTTACGTCATGCATACAACCATTATTGTTTGGCGTCAGATAACGTAGAAAGGAAAGTTCATGTTACCAGGAAGTATGGCATCACATGGTTCGACATAATAGCTAATCTATGGCTGACACTTTCACGCAGGCTAGATAAATTCTATACCTCTGTATCTGCCACTAGTACCGTTGTAAAATTCCCAATGAGATGAGAATATTGCAAGCGAATGAGAAAGTATCAGTAGACTTTTTTCTTACCTTCATTGTTGTTATATACACAAAGCTGTGACTTGATTGTTCATAGTTTTGATTTCACATGAGCTTAAAAGGGTAACGTCACGACTGAGGTATTGCTGTCAGTATCAATGCCAGTGCTTCCAGATGCCTGCCCGAACCTTTGTGGACAAGTTCTTGCATAAAGCATAGTCCCCGTTGGCCACATACACCGCACTTTCTGCCAACTGTCGCTTCGACTAATTTTAATTGTGACGCGTCTTTCGGATTTAAGCTACACCCTTTGTCATGAATACCCGGCGGACGTTTGGTTTTGGCCCCGTTGAGGCGACCTTTCGCCCTTTCCATTGCCGAATTCGACAAATTGAATGTCTGCAACCATACCTCTTCAAGCGGTTGTTGCATGTCCAGCTGTCGATAGGGAGCCAAAAACCGATACGTTGGTTGCATAGTTTGAGCGAGACCTTCTATATCCACGCTGTCAATATCTTTCTCCACTTCCAAATGCAAATCTGATGAATCGGGTGATATTTCTACACGCCGAAGGTGCCAATGCGCATGAAAGTCACCAATATGGAGGACTCCTCCCAAGAGATTTCGTGCTAGGATTTTGTGCACGCACGGTAACCCTGATGTGGTGCTATATGCTCCTGAACAATTAAGTCGACACACTTTCGGTTCATCTAATAGCAGCATTTGCTCGTGAACTTTCATTAGCGCGTATCGTGAAAATGACTCGACCACTCCGGCAAAAAATTATCATCGTGATCATTCCACACTTTAATGGCACAACCGCCTACGGCAGCTCTTAGTTCAGCCACAAAATTGAGCAAAGCAAGCTCAATTTTATAGCACACATCCCACAGGTCCGTGGTCGACACCTTAATATACTTTTAATGCGGCATGAGCTCCTTCCACTCTTGACGTGTTCACATTATTAAAATGCAAAATTTTATTCTTCCATGCGGATACAAATCGGGTAATCAATGGGACCCACTGGAGTGTAATGTAGTCAAGTACCCTCTTCTTCTAGGAATATTATGTTTGAAAATCACCCCATGCCTGAATCCATTTCTCTTTTGTGTCTAACCGCACCATCTGCAAGTGGACAATATCATGAGTAAGCAAGCAAATTTGTAGACAAAGCTACATGAGCCTGCCTCCATCCAGTCCTTAATATACTCGTCTCAATCATCCGCAGTAAAATGCTGGCGACAATTCTTGAGCAAATTCTTTGCAATATGTCAACGACATACGAAATTATTTGATTGCGGAAATACGCTATCAATCGCGGCAAGCAAACCATCATCGCAGTCGGTTGCAATCGTAATTGGGTGAGTGGCGCGAGGCGGGGCGTGTCTTTGTGTGAGCTGATGCAGCCCCGCAACACGCTCTTGTGCCCATTTGTATGATTCAGTGTCTGGAAAACAAAGCACACGGAGAATAGGGGGAACACGCTAATAAGTCCAACTACGTGCAGAAGTGGCATGCCAAATTTGATAGTTTTGTACGCACAATTCATCAGCAGCGCAATCGGATTTTGGTGCAGAAGATCCATCGCAATTGGATCCGCAAAAATAGGTAAGTAGTTTTCCCTTTAGGATCACACTCGTACTGAAACCGGTACTGCTTTCGACGAAAATCATCCATAAGTGCCTTTATCGGTTCCTTACCTCTTAAGTTCTCTTTCCGAAAGCGAATTCGCTCGTTGTATATAGTCCTTGCGTGCGCTAGTTTCCCTGGGTCCTCTAGCCTTAGAACGGTTAAAGTCTCTCTCGGGGACGCACCCGCCTTGATATTTAGATCCACCATGAGCCATTGTTTCTTGTTAAGGCGTCGTGCAGATGCATGACCAGCTATATCAAGAGTGAGTGAATAATTATGCTCTCCATTCTTGACTGTTGAGTGCCAAAGGCCATCTTTTTTGACCCGGGCATAGATCTGGAACTTACAGTCGCATATCTTTGTGGCACCTTTACGCTTGCGATAGTCTTCTGACACCCGACGTGGTATCCCGCCACAATCGCACATCAACCAGTACTAACAGCCACCACTAGATCTTGCGACTGTAACTTGGTACCCCTGAGTGCGAGTAAAAGCATCCACGGAGATACGAAGATTATCGTAGGTGTCGTAGGTTTGTTCTGGTGGGGTCAGTATGTACTTAGTTTTACGTAAGATTACTTTGTAATTTGCTTTGTCTCTATAACTCCGAGAAGTTATCTGAGGTGGCGGTCGGTCACGTTAGGCAGAATTAAGCGTTCACTGAATACATCGTTCTTTTAAGTGTTGACTATCTTGTCTACTGAGAGCCAGCGGTCGGTAATGTTAGCCAAAAAAGGCGTACATTTCATGGGGCGTACATTAACAAATTTAAAGCGTGCATTTAAGATTCCCTATTGATAGTACTATATTGTGATCACCTACGTTCACGGATCATATTCGTTGGCTGACAAACGCCCGCGACTAATTACGACGCACGCGTTGCGATCGTTACAGTTAGGGTCTCCACCAACACCGATGAGGTCTCCAATGCTTTTCAACGCGCTATAATCATGTTGCACTACCTTCCTTAAATGTATCACAGCGTTGAATGAGATTATTGTCAAACAATATGATCAAAGTTGACCTAAATTCCGGCTAACACCGTTTCACGTATCTCTCTCATTGTCTCAGGCATCGCGTAAAGTAGCTTATATTATCATCGGTAGAAGCACCTCATGCTTGTACCGATGACAATATCAGCTACTTTCGCTGATGACGTTGTATCTGGATGACCCGGTGCCTCAGGCCAATTGCCGGGACGCATGTAGCGCAGTCAACTGAACCAGGCAATGTCAGTTGCATGGAAGAAAGGAGCTTTGTACAACATGAGTATCAATGACATTGTTTCGGAATCTTACTCTGGATACATTAAACAACGAATACGTATGCCAACTTCGTGCGCACCAACTATCGCATGCGTCTTGCATAATTGAGGGCTTTGTTGCCTTGTGTCATGGCCTCGGTCAATATACGAGCAGTGTGTTGCTGTCAGCTGCCGCGCATTTGCCTCAAATGGCAATATTCACATTGACATTCAGATGAATAGCGATGTCACGGAACTGAGTCATTCCCTCACAGTCGATGCTTGCAAGTTAGTAAGGAAAAGTTCTGCGCAAGTCTTCCGTACTAGTTATTTCGGTAAAGTATGGCACTATGGATACGTGACTTCAACAGAGCGACGACATAGTATCTCACTTGACATTTAATGCGCTCAGTCGTATCATCTACCACTTCGGATATTACCCGCTACGAAGCAACTAGAGACGCAAAAATGCCATCAACAGCATCTCTTCCTGTATACCTTCTGTTCCGAATGCCACACACTTGATCTATAACACAATGACGTGTCTGCTGAGCTCAAACGCTCGGGATCATACCATGTCGGAGACAAGACGGTTACAACATCAATACTAAACAAAAGTGTCGATAGTCAAATAGAGACACCTGAATTGCATGAGCCGATATCCCTTTCCTCACGCTATTGCATCTCTCTCGATGCTGCTGCGACCGTCTCGGTCTGCACGTGCTATGACGTAAGGACGCTCGCAATAGTAGCCCCCCCAAAGTCTCCATACTCGGCCGATTGATGATTGATTACATTACACACGCGCTGTCTCAACGTCACTCTATTCGTCTCACTATACTCTCCACTTGACAAGCGCGTGACAACACAAAGCGTCATCGCCACTCGTCGCACATGACATCAACCTCATGGCCCACATTGCATCCGCTCGCACCAGCAATAATAGCAACAGCAGTCCACGACCATCCACCTCTCCTTCCTGTCCGCCACTCTTTGTTTCTCGTCCGTCGCAATGGCTTCGCCCGTGCTGTTCGCCCTCCTCCGTCACGCCGCCACGCCACTGCCCTTCACGCTCCTCAACGAACAGCTCACGCGGCTTTCCACACTCGTCGGCCTCCCCGTTGACCAGCTCCGCTGCGTCACGTGTCTCCTCGCCGTCTACCCCTTTGCTGTCCTCGTGCAGAAGCTGCCATCGGCCACGGCCAAGCACTGGCTCCACATTTGCGGCGGCGTGAGCATCGCCCAGTTCGTCTATGGCTCGGGATGGCTCCACTCGCTGCTCTCGTCGCTGCTCACGTACGCGCTCGTGCGCGTCCTGCCGCCCACGCGGGCCGCGGCCGTTGTCTTTCTCGCCAATATGCTGTACGTCGCTGCCCTGCACGTCCACCGCATGCGGGTGAACTACATGGGCTGGAGCATGGACGCGACCGCGAGTCAGATGCTGCTGCTCATCAAGTTGACGAGCTTTGCCTTCAACTACCACGACGGCGTCGTGCCGAGCGCAACAGCAGTCGCCAAAGGCGACTCGGACCAGACGAAGCGCGTCAAGCAGATCCGCGCGCAGTTTGCCATGCCGCACCTCCCGTCGCTCTTGGAGTTCCTCGGGTTCGTCTACTGCTTCACGACGTTCTTAGCCGGTCCCGCGTTCGAGTACAGGGAATACAGCGACGCGATCCATCGAACGCGCTTTGTCGACCGCAAAGGGGTCCGACGGCACGTGTCGCCCGCACGGGCTGCCGCGTCCAAGTTGCTGCTCGGACTGAGCCTCATGGGACTCCTCGTGCCGTTTGGCGCACTGGCCGACGTGAAGGCCATTCTGCGCGACAATGAGCACCAGTCGCTGGTCCGCAAGTGGGTTCGCCTCCTCGTGGCGCTGTTCCTCACGCGGGCCAAGTACTACGTCGCGTGGAAATTGGCCGAAGGCGCAACAGTGCTCACGGGCGCGGGCTTCGAAGGCTTTGACGAGCACAACAACCCCAGAGGGTGGGACGCCGTCAGCAACGTGGACATTCGCGGCTTTGAGCTCGGAGCGAACGTCCGCGAGGTCACGCGCGCGTGGAACAAGGGCACGCAGAACTGGCTGGAGCGCTACGTGTACACGCGCACGGGGAACTCGTTGCTCGCTACGTACCTCGTCTCGGCGCTATGGCACGGGTTCTATCCCGGCTACTACCTCTTCTTCCTCACGCTACCGCTCGCTACGTCCGTGAACCGGTTGGCTCGACGCCACGTGCGGCCGTACGTTGTGAAGAGTGCGCTCAAACCCCTCTACGATCTCGTGGGCATGATCTGCACGGCACTGGTGGTCAACTACCTCGCCGTGTCGTTCGTAGTGCTGTCGTGGGACGAAGCGGTGAAAGGGTTTCGCGCCTTGCGCTTCGCGGGCCACGTTGGCCTCGTGGTGAGCTACTTGCTACTGACGTTTGTCCCGGTCGAGAAGGCTGCGCGCCGACAGAAGACGTTGTAGGGATATTGATGGACATGGCCAAAGAAGACCTGAGGTGAGCTACGCCATGACAATAGGTCAACACTGCGGACGTCTCGTGGTCGATAATTGTTACTGCACTTGTTACGCCATCACATGTGGCGGCACGAAGGCGATCGAGTTGGTAGGCGCACCGATTGTCGACTGCCTCTCTCTCTCTTTGTCTCTTTGTCTCTCTGTCTCTCTCGCACCTTCCACTGTAACTCGGATACGCCGCTCCTCGAGCGCGACCGTACGCTATACAAAGCCACCGATGCTCTGCACTCGACTTAGCCGGTCCTTCCGTCGGGCGTTCTGCTCCTGCTGGTACTTTTCCACTTCACACGGCCCACTCCGCGTCGGGTCTCGTCGCTTCAGCCGGCGCTTCTCTCGCTGCTGAGCCTTTGTGTCTCCTCCATCTTCCGACTCGGACGACGACGATCCCTGCTCCGTCACGCGCTGCGATCGAGAGCCTGACTTGCCGCGCCAATTCCAGCCCTGCTCGTTCGTCTGCCGTCGTAGACGAAGCATCTGGTCGCGGCCGGCCGTGCCGTTGTCAATCATCTCTTGCAGCATCGATTCTTCGTCGTTGGAGAACGTGTGCTTTGCTCTCATGTAGCCACTGCCACCGCCGCCACCACCACCACCCACCTCTTCGTACTCGTACTCCGTGTCCGAGTCCTCCGAGTCCGACGTGTGGTCGGCCGCGCTGCTGTGGCCATTGTCGAGACTCGCGATACTATTGCTGCTGTTCATGGCCTGGAACGAGTCCCACTTGAGCTGCACGTACTTGTCCAGCGCAAGAGGAAAGCCCCACTCCTTCTGGCTGTCCACTGCAACACGGACGCGAAACATCTCGCCAAAGTTCGAAGGCAAGTCGGCGAACTTCACTTCGAGCTCTTCGAGGAACCGCTGGCTGTCAATCACCAGGCGGTACTCGGCGTCGACGCTGTAGCAACCCGGCGCTTTCATCACTGCCTTGTTAATAAACCGGTCCAAGTAGCGCAAGATCATAATGGCGCTGTACTCGGACAAGTACTTTTCCAGCTCTCGCTGCGCGTGGATGGAAATCGCCTGAGCATTCAGCGCTGAGCTCACGCGCGACATGCGCTCGGAATCGGTCAGCTGGATGCACTTGGTGGACAGCGCTTTCCGCTTGGGCCGCGACGAGCGCAGTTTCTCTCTGCTGTGCACCACAAAGCTCCGGTCCGTGCTCCGAGCTTCCTGGAACGAATGGAACACGTCGTTGCCCCGTCGCGAGCACTTGTTCGTATGGCACACGAACGACGACGACGACGACGTCGACGACGAAGACGTTGACAAGTCCTTGCCCCTCCTGCCATCGACAAACGTGGCACACGAAGCCGACAAGGGCCTGGACGAAGACGCCGTCGCTCGCTCCTTCTCGGGCTCTGGTTCGTCGTGCACTGACGACCCGGCAGAGTGGGGCATGGACGAAGCTGCGCGCGCAATGCTGCTCTTCCACTCGTCCAGACTGCCATCGAACGTCGAGCAGAGCTGTTCGGACTTGCTCGCGCCCGTCAACGCACTAGGCGCTGTCTTCGGTACACGTCCGCGCAAGAGCGAGCCGACGTCAGCCCGCAAGCGCTCGGGCAGTGCTCTTCCTGCTTTTGCCCCACCCGTTGCACTGCAACTCGTTCCTCGCTCGCTCTGCGCCACAGTGTCCTCCAACCTCTCGCGTGCTTCCTGTCCAGCTCCATCGCTGTGGTCACCACCCGCCGTGGGCAGAAGAAGTTCCTCGCACCGCTCGTCGCCCCGTCGCCCGCTCGACTTGTTCGAGCTCAACGAGCTCCTCAGACCCAAGATCTTACTCTCGCGGATCACGCGCGTCGTCGACAGCGGCTCGCGGCCGTCTATTGCAGCATGTCGGTGCCCACTGCTCGTGCCCGAAGCCCCTCGTGCTGTCCAGTTCATCGGCCCGTCGTCCCGCGTCGTCGTCTTGGCACTACTACTCCTGCAGCTACTACTACTACTACCGTTCGACGGCAGCACTAGCGCACAGGGGTCCACGGCCATCGTCACGGGCTTGAGAAAGTCCCGCAGCAAGTGAAACACTGCCACGCTCGTCGGCAATCGGTCCGCGAGGTCGTTGTCGTCCACCTGCTCCCCGCGCTCTTTCTGCGCCTTGCGGAACGTGTGCGTGAGCACGAGCAGCTTCATGAGGAAGCGATGGAGCTCCACCGCGCGCTCTTTCACCACGTGGTCCTTCTTGCTCCCAAAGAGGCGCTTGGACGGGAACGCCACGTCCTGCAGCGCGCGCGCAAACGTCCGCGCGCTGCTGTCGCGCCGCGACTCGTCGTCGCGCATCACGCGCTGGACGTCGTCGCGCAGCTTGCGGAAGTCCGAGTACGTGCGGCGCACTTGCCACGCGTCGACGTCTTGTTGGACGTTGACGACGTAGAGCACGTGGCTGCTGCCCGTGAACTCGACGTGGCCGATCGCGACGACGAGGCGACTCATATGGGCTCCAGCGACGGCGCGCTCGAGAGACAGAGAGCAGCAGCAGCTGTGGCAGGCGGCAAAGCAGAGAATGCGAAGCGTACCGGGCGTACGGCACTACGAGAGAGAGAGAGGAGGGCGACGATGGACGCGGTGGGGCCGACGCTTGCGGCGCTCGGGGGTTCGATGACGGACTTGTTGTAGTGCTGTGTGCTGTGTCCTGTGCTGTCCTGTCTGTAAAGCTGGTTGGGGTTGTGGTGTAGAGACGGGGCGGTGATCGAGTTGTGCAAAAAAGACGCGGGTGCGTGGGGACAGGGGTGGGGCGGGGGTGGAGGACGGCAGACGAGCCCGGGTGTATGTCGTTTCAGAGGGTACTAAGGAAAGAGCCAGACGTGGTTGCAGCCATATGGGCGAATCGAGCCAGCTTGTAGCGTGCTGTTGAGTTGCTCGTTGTTGCTCGTTGTTGCTCGGTGTTGCTCGTCGTGTGCGTTGTGTGGCGCCGAGCGCGAGTAGGGGTGCGGTGCACGGCGGTGGTGGTTGGAAAGGGAGAAGCGCTGGAAGGTCGAGTAGAAATAAGACGGACAGACACTGCGACGTCGGTGGTGTGCGAAGTGCAATCGAAGAAGAAGACGAAGGAGAGGACGAAGAGACGGTGGAGGAGGCGAAAAACGACAGCGATAACGACAGCGAGTGAACTAACTTACTTGGATCGGATATGGTCAGGCGCGCCAGAGCGGCAGCAACGTGCAGCTCGACGGGGCAACCGAGTAAACGGCAGGAGGAAAGACGACGACAGGCCGTCGGTTTGTGGCGTGTGGGTTTTGTTCCTTTTGGTTAGGGAGAGAGGGGGGAGAGGGAGACAGACCGAGAGGTTGACGGAACGAGAGAGAAAGAGAGTGGGAGCCGCCACGTAAACGTATGAGGACTCGCAGTGCTCTGTGATGAGGCCATCGACGGTGTGTGGAGAAGGACCGAGACGTACTTCATATCGACAAAGAGGATCGCGTCAAGTCATACACTCACATCTGTGTCTCGCTTAAGGTCAAGCCGCTCTTTCCTTTTCCTCTCGATCCAAACGTCCACAACAGCAACAGCAACGACAAAAAAAGTAACGCCAACACGTCGTCTCGTCGCCTGCGCCCGTCTGCGGAAACCCCTTTTTTGTCGCATCGTTCGGCATCGACCCATTGGCCACAGCCGCACTCGCAATTGCAGCTGCCCCGTTTCTGTCGCGTCTCGTGTCCCTCCCATACTCGATACATCGCTCCTTGCTTCCGCCCTCTGCTCCCGGACTCAGATCCACTCGTCGTCTGAGTCTCGATGGCCGAGGCTCGACGCTCGACGCTGATTGGCTGCAAGCGCAATAACTGTCCGCCATGACGCGCGAACGAGCGCACCCCCACGTCGCGCTGCCCCTCGTCGCGCACCACGTGGCGTCCGACGTCCCGTCTTCGACGCGCGTCCTCGTGATTGGCGACGTACACGGCTGCTACGACGAGCTGCAGTCGCTGCTCGAAGCGTGTGACTACTCGCCGCGCCACGACCGCCTCGCGTTTGTCGGGGACCTCGTGAATAAAGGCCCCAAGTCGCTCGAGGCGCTGCGCTTTGTCCAAGACTCGGGCGCGCTCTGTGTGCGCGGGAACCACGAAGATGCCGCACTAAGTGCGTACTACGCATGGCTACAAGCTGGCGCGCGGCCGAATACAGCCAAGTACTCGTACGTGGAGCAGCTGGAAGCCCGTGACGTGGCGTTTCTCCAGCAACTGCCGTTCTCGCTGGCGTTGCCGAATCACGGGGACGTGCTTGTGGTACACGCTGGAGTTGTACCGGACGTAGAGCTGGAGGACCAGCGACTAGTGGACCTGTACAAGATGCGCTACGTGCAATGGGGACCAGCAGAGGACGGGCAGGGGAAGACGTGGGTCGCACTGGAAAAAGACAAGTGGAAGAACGACGAGGCAGGTGCGGTGGAAAAGTGGGCCACGGTCTGGAAAGGACCTCGACACGTGTACTTTGGCCATGCTGCGACGATCGGGCTCCAGGTGCGGACATGTGGCGTGGGTGCAGGGTGAAAGAAGAGGTGATGATGATACTGATGACGATGACGGTGGTGATTGATGTAGCAAGAGAAGTTTGCCACGGGATTGGATACGGGCTGCTGCTATGGACGGCAGCTCACGGCGTGTATCCTTCCGGTGAGAAAAGCAGCAGAGAAGTGTGGTGTGTTGCTAGTTGTGTGTGTCGACTGACGTGTGGATGTGATGGGTGGACGTTGTTGCAGTCGAACGAGTTGGTGCAGGTCGATGCAAAGAAGCAGTACGAAGTGCCGGGTGGCGACAAGAAGTGATGCAAAGGAGGTGAGGATGGCTTGCTGCATTCCGACACGGCACACCTGTGCGATTGATCGCCTTCTCCTGTGCAGATTGACTGGTTTCGAGCGCAGTCGCTGCGAAGGGCGCGTGAGGTTGCACATTTAGCTCATGATGTGGTCGTCAGGAAAGAATTTGCTGCAGTAGAGCTAGGGCACGACAACCATCGAGCGTGTCTGCCCCTGGCTGACTGAACATGTGGCATCATAGAACGTGCAGCTACAATACGGTCATGAATGAACGTTTACCATTAGGAGTACGTCCTACATTGTACGCTTGGCCGCAGTGCGTCAACTGTATCACAAGCCACACAGTCAGTTTTGCGACAAGCGTAAACATAAGCCCTTTCGGGTCACATATCGCAAGTGACAAACGATCTTCAGCCCCAACTGTTTGTGCAAAGTCCGTCTGTCAGCAACGCAGTGACAAGTGTAGAGGTTCAAGTCGCATGACTGACCGCAGGGAACATAACTGCCAGCGTTTCATCGATCTTGGATGACGGACACACTGGAAAGTTGCGTAGGCGTCAAGGCGCTACCAACTTCGATCGTGGCGTCTTGTCGACACAGACCGTATCGATCGTTTATTGCAAAAGTGGGAGTCGCATATCCACCGGGCATGAACGACACGCTGGACAACGCACAACTGATGTTGAGCAATAGATGGCACAAAGCAGTACGTCTTCGAGCTGGACAACACGATACGGCGTTCTCAAATGGCCAAACTCCACGACTCTGGTCCATCGTCCACCGTTTGCAATCAGAATCCGAGACGTTCGGATCGCGACTTGCTGCATCACGTCACATTCTTCCGACAGCAACTACTGCGCAACAGGCCAACAGTATCTCGAATGTCATAGCTTCCACTTCTCGCCCTCATGACTCACGATGCTGCACAACTCTGCATCACTACACCGGACCGCCATCAATTATCAAATTTTTCGCCTGCTATTCATCGTCACATAGACAGCGCGACCCACACGAGTGCGTAAAAAGCCTCCAGCTCCATACATCGTCGATCGCTATTGCTAATGCAGCAAGATCGTCACCGCATCATCGTCTCAAAACGTCACATCCAGCAACCAGTTTCCCTCCTTGCAGCCCATCGTACATATCATCCCCTTGCAGCCCATTGTAAGGCGTGCCCATCGCCATCCAAAGCTGATCAGACTGCAACGCCTCCTACCGTCTTGCTCAGCCTGGACAACCAGCACGCAAAGCACAAGCAGAAAGAGACGACAACAACAGCAACAACAACAACAACAACAACAATCACAACAACAACAATCACAACAACAACAACGTCAACGCACGAGGCCGAAGCCGACATGGTGTAAAAAACAACGTTGCATTAACTTTCGCTCGCATCCTCTTGTTGCTAACCTGAGTTTTATTCATCCAGCGCGCGGGACGCTCGGCACGCAAGGTCCTGCCTTGCCCACCCTTGTTTCGCACGTCCTGCACACTGCCTTCTTCCTGTAATACACTACAACCTGCCCGTCTCTCGCCTTCCACTTGTTCCTTCCTCTCGTTACTCTTCCTCGTCCGTCTTCGTCGTTCTTCGTCGCTTCTTCTTCCTCTTCTTCCTCTTCTCCTTTTTCTTCTGCCGTAACACCCCCTGACACCAGCGACGCCAGCGACAAACCTCACCGCTAATACGAATCCATAGAGATCGTCGACGCCCGAGACGACGCGGGCATGAACATACTGTCACGCATGCTGGACGTGAGTGTCGAGATGCTCTCGCGAGACGACCCGACGCTGAACGACCGGTCCACGCGCTTGCTCTTGCGCTTGTACACGCACGTGTCCTTATCTATCCGAATGCCCCACTGGAACTCATCGGCTTTCGTCACGACGACGAGGAACTCGTTCAATTTTGCAATGCGGTCGATAATCAATTGGTCCGAGAAAAAACCCGTGAGGCTTTGGGTCTGCAGCTCTGGAATGTCGTGATGGCTGCTCGGGTTTTTCGCCTTGAGCGTTGCGGCCAAGTTCCTACAGGCACATACGTTGATACATAGATAGATACAGCAACAACAACAACAGCAGCAGCAGCAGCAGATCACAGTTGGACACTTGTTAGGACACGAATAAAAAACAGCAAACAAAAAAACAGCAATCAAACAAAAAAAGCAAACAAACGCCCAAACAAACAGGAGCGGCAGTATCAAGTGAACAAGACCCTATCGGCGACTCACAAGAACGTGCTGTATCGATGCCAGAGCACCAACGTGCCGCGAATGTCCGTCTCGATCTGAAGCTTGTACTCGACATACTGTCGGCCCTGTTTCGTCTTGATGCGGCTGAACAATACGCACAGACACACACGACGACAGCACACACAAAAAACCCGCGAATAAAACCGTTAGTTTTAAACACGCGACCCCAACCAAACAGGTACCAAACAAAAGCACGCGTTGTTTTAAACCGCGCACCTGTCAACGACTTTGGCCGAGAGCAGCGAGATCTCTCTCATTTGATCAATCTTCGTCTGGTACGAGTCCAACGTCTGCCGCAGCTGCACGTGCTCGCGACGCAGGTCGACGCTGGCGTTCTGCAGGGCCATATTAAGTATGGAAGTCCGCAGCTTCTCGTTCTCGTCTTCGAGTCGGCGCTTGGCCGAGGCTGCTTCGAGCAACTGGGCCTCGTAGAGACGGGCGGCCTCTTCTGCCCGCGCGACTTTCTCGGCGGCGTCCGACAGCACGCGCTCCGTGCGTTTGGTCAGCGTGCCCATGTTGCGCGTCTGTTATAAAAGATTAGAGGTCCGGCCGGCCGGCGCTGGTGGCGCATAAAGTGTGAGGTCTCACGAGCCAAACGACTGCACAGAGTGCACCAGCAACCGCAGGAGCGCGCACGGTACCTTCGAGCGACAAGAGGCGAGGAAGAGCAAAGGGCAACGTGTGCGGAAAGCGACAGGGGGGGGCTGCTGGCGTGTGCAACCGGCGCTTCGAAATGCGGAAAGGGAGAGAGACCGGCGCCGTTGCCGCGCGAGAAAACGGGTTGCTGTCTCGTTGCCCGGGAAAGGGATGCGTCGTCGTCGCAGCCGCAGAGCGTAGTGGCAGTTGTGGCAGCGCGAGTATGTATACTGACACGACTTGGTGGTTGTTGTTGTTGTTATCCGGACGACCAAAACACGACTTGGCGACAACGTGTGCGTTCAGTTTCGCTCGGCGAGGCGCCCCGCGATTGGTCGAGCAAGATCTACTGTGCGTGAAACCGCACAGAAAAAAGACCAGCGCTGGCCGAAGTGGCAGTGATTTGCTCGAAAACGACGCGGCCGTGCGGCAGAGCCCACGAGGGTCAACATCCTTTCCGAGACGAAGCAAAGGTCGACGGAAAGCAGAGGCAACGAAAGCGTAGTGGCAGCAAACAAACAGAAGGCAAGAGAAAGCGGAACAATAGGCGGACTTGAACGACGACTGGTTGTACGCAGACGCTCGTGTTGGATCTGCTCTGCACGTCGAGCGCACGTGCTCGGCCCGACGACTCGTTGCTGTTTTTCTAGGACGTGACGTCCGAACGACGTCGTTGCGTTGTAGTCGCTCGAACTGGAAGCATGACGTTCCACTAGGGGCTGCGTGGCTCGGCCTGTCCTATTTTGCATCATTGCGAGCGGTCCTTTTTCTCCAGGAAGGAATGTTTTGCCTGCGCTCGCTCGCTCGCCGTCGTGGCTTCCAGGAAGCAAACACTGGGACCGACTTCAATCGTTGACCCGCGCGGGTTCTTCGTTGGTAGGAGGGCCCACAGGTCCGCAACAGAAAGAACGCGATCGACGCGAACGGGTTTTGTCAGACACAGATTTGTCCTGGCCGCAGGGGGGAAGAAGGGGACCTTAATCACGGGATATACATACCATGTTGCAGGTTTTGCATAGTAGCGACCTCATTGACAGAGTCGCGTGCTTTATCACACCGCATCTTTCCTCGTTGAGAACGTGCGTCTTCTTTTCGCTTTTTGTATTTGCTTGTTCGGACGAGTGGGCTTGTTGCATACTGCGACGAGCGTCTTCTCCTCGACAGTCTGTAGATTGTTCTTTCCCCAATGGCTGTTGCAGTCGACAAGGCATTTTTTTGACGTCTTGACAACGACGTAAAACAACGCACTTCCGTAAGCAAACGGATCCAATTGCATCCAGAAACAGGAGTGGGAGTCCACGTAGACAAACTGTCAGTACCGCTGTAGAGTGTCTCCATGTGTACAGCTGACTCATACATAAGGTGCAAATTGTATCACTGCGCTTACCAGCTCCGACGAAATCATTAGGATGCATTTGTGTAGTCTGAGACGTACTTGTGACGCAACTTTACAAGAACCACAGGACGTACATTCTGGCAAGTCCAGCTCCATGACTCCTTGCTCTCGTTGTGCTGTCTGCAAGAAAAGCGGCCGACATATGAGGACGCGATAGAGCTCTACTTTCGTGTGTGATCGATCGCATGACAAAGAAACTGAGAAAGCGAGTTTTGATGTCCTAACCTTTGACGTGATCCCATCACACGTTCTTCGGATCTCGTGACCCCGAAACTGCAATATCACAGCGTGCGACGTCTCATCTCGTATACACGTCGAGCGATTGGCCAGAAGATGTTCATACACTCGGTATTGACTACTAGCTGGAAAGTCGTCCGGCTAAATCGACATACTACCCGGTCATTCTCCTTCCATTCCATCTACAAACTGTCTGCATTGCGTCTTGGAGCAGGTCGAGTTCTTGTGAAGATTCAGCCGCTTGATGACATGTCGCTGCGATTGTAGTTGCGTGTCAATTTCATCGACAGGATGAGTGCGATGAGTTTGCACATGAGTCAATGATCGGTGCGTTTCTCTGACAAGATGACAACACCGTTCCTTGGAAGTGGTAGGTAGACACTCGTTTGCTTTTCTTCGATCCGCAAACAGCGAGTCTCGTCCCTGATGTTCAAGCCCAGTCATCCCGCATGTACGACTTGCTTGACATTGCTTGATCGGATCTCAAGGATCGTACGAGCACTCAGTCTTTATGTGAACTACCCCGGCTACAACGGATAGGGTGACAGCGTGTCGTAGCGGTCAGACGTCCACAACTCGGACGACACTTTTTTCGCATCTCGATCTGATGTGCTGTTTCCTGGCTGCTCCCAGTACTTGAAGAATAGCACGTTCGTGAAGTTTGCCATATTGGTGCGGCCAGCAAACATAAGCTAAGACTAAAAGCAGCCTCAAGCACCAGCGTTGATTCGATTCTACTTGCTGTTCGCGTTTCAGCGAGCGAGGTTGAAGTCTACAACACTTTTCGATCATCTGCGTCGATCATGCGTGTGACAAGCACTTCGGGACCAATGTTCCAACGACATTGTATGGAATGATCGGGGCAAGGCTTAGAAGGATGGCGAATCTCGGACCTTGTGGCAACACGTCCACAAGTGCGATCGATCGGACCCGTGCGTGCAATGTGACCAAAGAACCCACTAGCTCTGCAGTATTGCGGCACAAGACGTACAGCATATCGAGCACTATGGTGTACGTACGAATCTCGCTCGCTAAGTCGCTGCAAGTACACATATCATCTGCACGATACGATTATCGCCTCAGCGAGAGAGATTCTTTACAGTGCGCACGTAAGTAATGTATTTTGGCCATCATCGCTCGTTTGACTTGCCACGACGTACATTGACCCAAATAGGCCAACAAACAGCCAATCGCAGTGGCCAACGCCCACCCCAACCGAACCGACCGAACCGAACCAGTGGTTCTCTCTTTTCGCACACCACTGCTCAGGCCATTGTGGTGGCAGTAGTACCGTTTCCCATCTGCTTCCGTCGCACGCTCGACAAGAACGTACGTGGAGCTCGTGGACACGTGTGCGCAATGGCTTCAACGCGCCTCCAGTCTGTCATTTGACCTTTTTGCCCCGTGGCCACACAGTCGCTGGGGCTCTGTCTCCACTCGCAATGGAACGCCATCGAACAGTCACCACTCGTGCGCGCGCTACGGACGACACGGCACACTCGGACGCTGACCGTTTATTGGGCCATAACGACGTCGACGACGTGAACGATACTGTGGACGACAGTGGAGTCGAGCGCTCGGCGATTGGTCGTCCAAAAGCGATCAGGCGCTGGGGCTCGCCGCCCCTTGAGACCGTGGCACTGACTCTTTTGTCGAAGGCGCGTCGCCTGAATGTTGCTCCAGTGGTCGTCCACTGCTGCTGTGCGTGGCTGTTTTGTGCACTCCTGTGGATTCGATGGCCAGTGTACTACGACAAAGTGTACCCATTCTTCATCGCGCGCGTGGACGACAAACTAGAGGTCGAGCCAGTGGTCGTGTCACTTGCCGTCGTACTGCCGTTTGTCTGTGCCGGCACAGTGTATCTCTACTGGCGGTCCGCTCCACTCGGCTTTTCATTGGTCCGCTCGGGTCAGCAACTCAAGCTCGTCCGCTGGCTCCAGACCCATGGCGCGATCACGCGCTTTACCGGTATCGACGCTGTCGACCTCGTCGCTGGCAGTGGGTTTTTCCTGCTGCAACTTAACCTCGTGCTCAGCAAGTTACTGGTGGACCACACGAATGGCAAGTTGGCTACATCAGGTTACCTCAAGTGCACTGCTCGTGTACTGGGAATGAATGGACTGTTTGCAATGGCCACGTCCCTATTGCTCGTGGCCCGCCAGTCGTTTTTGCACGAGTGGTGTGGTATCTCTGCCGAACGCGCGACGCGGTACCACGTGGTCACGGGCCAATGGGGTCTCGCCGTGTCGCTATTGCACGGCCTGTGGTACATTGTGTCGTGGTACATGAGCGGCACACTGGCGCACAAGCTGCTGCCGTGTCTCCAAGACACGTGTACACTGTCACAGCAGTACACGTCGAGCCGCAACTTTTTCGGTGCAGTAGCAATGGCCGCTCTGCTCGTTGTGGCAGTGTCGTCCCTCGCGTATGTCCGTCGACGGCGCTTCCACCGGTTCATTGCGCTCCATACGGTCAATAGCGTTGTGGTAGTAGCAACGGCGCTGCACTATTACGCGACGTCGTTCTGGATGGTCCCTGCACTGCTGCTGTATGGCAGCTACCGAAGTGTCTCTGTGTTTGGACGCCAACGAGCCAGTGTCGTGTCGACCACGACCAGGAGCGCCCAAGTGTACCAGCTGGAACTGAGACGAGACGCGACCGCCGCCACGTCGGACTTTGTACCGGGTCAATATGTGTACATTCAGGTGGCAGCTATTGGTCGCGCGTGGCATCCGTTCAGTATCAGCTCGAGCCCCTTGCGCAATCGCCACTCGTTTATAGTGGATGTGAAGGTCCAAGGGCCGTTTACCGCTCGATTGTGGACGCTGGTGCACAGACAGCAGCTTGAGGCGGTGCACGTGGATGGATACTATGGCACGGGCATCCACTTGGCTCCGCACATGGTGTTGATTGCCGGAGGGAGCGGCATGACTCCGTTCTTGAGTATCTTGGACCACACCAAGGCGCTTGCAGATGCCAGTGATCGAGACGACGTGTTGACGGACACGATGGTGGAACTGCCGCGCACGTTGTGGGTCATCTGGACATGTCGTGACTTGGAGTTCATGGCAGCGTATGCGGAGCTCTTGGATGCCGTGAAGCGGTGTTCTCGATGGAAGTGCAAGATGTGGCTGCACCTCACGCATGCTGGAAGTTGTGGACGTATGGACGAGAGCGAAGACGACGACACTGAGCCCGACGATGTGTCGGACGCGTCCACGCCGCGCGTCCAGCGGTTCTATCCCACCTCGTCGAAGCCGTACGTGTTTTCAGGGCACAATGCTGCGCTGGGGTTGCCGTTATTTGCTGGCTCAGCGCTCGGTTGTGGACTGCTAATGTGGTGGGTGTATCAACTGGAAGAGCTGTCAGCCAGGTCCTTCACGAAACGTCTGATGCTCCTCCTTGCTGGCGCGCTGGGTGCAGTACTTGGAGCAAGTTCAGCGCTGCATCTGCAGCAACGCTGGAACGCCCGCAAGGGTGCAAAAGAGAGTGGCAGCGACAATGACATTGTAATGGGAGCAATGGAAGCTGTTGGTCTGGATGTAACGAGCCCTGCGACGCCCGCTACGCCACGATCTATGCCGTCGACAGCACAGTGCTTGCTGAACCGCAGCTTTCGTATCGAGAACGGGCGTCCAGATTTGGGATCCCGACTGCGTTACGTGCACGGTGAGATCCGAGAGAACTACGGCATGAAAGCGGAAGTGGCGCTTCTGGTAAGCGGACCGGCAGAACTGCAGCAGGATGTGTTGCTGCAAGCACGAAAGTTCCTGCAGCCTGCATTCGACGTGCAACAGAAGTCGTTCCTTTTGTGATACAAGAAGTGTGCTTTGTCGTTGCAAGAAGTTGGTTCGTTCGTGGTGAAGGGTTGTGGATCGCGTGGAAGTCGATTGTCGATGCTGTTGTTAGCGCTTGTGGATCCTTCTGCATGGACAAATGTTGCCTCGCTGTGGCAAGCAGTGGTGTCTGCGAAGCATGCAAGGTCACACCGGTATCGTTGGTCATGGACAAAGCCATCCGAGTGCGACGAACGTCGATCATTGCTGTCTGCGAGAGTGCCGCATGCACGCGGAGGCATGTACATGTTGGACTTGAACGTATATTGGGACAGATGCTTGACCCGGTGGTCACACGATGGAAACATTGAAGGCGCGTACACGGCCCGTGTGCTGTGTACCGGTATCGGCGGCAGCCTCTTGTGCACCAAGTTCAGGAAGAAATGAATGCAATCATACTAAGCTCTCTCACCCGTCACGCGAACGTTGCGTATACTTTGGTCTTTTCTTGCCGGGTCGAATGGTCATCTCGTGGTTACGCATATGCTGTCTGAAGTGTCGAGTACCGAGCTGATGACATTGTGAAGAAAGCTGGAAGCATTTGTTGATTGCTCGTCCAGAACTGGTGGCTGCACACGAGCCATCCTTCCCTCAGGTCACTTCGCAGCAACTCGAGTGTGTAATGGATACAGTTGGCGTCAGCTTGCGACTAAGGGGCTGAATGTATACACCTACGCGGGCATGGCTTGATAGCAATACTATTGCTATTGTAGCATATTCTCGATGAGTGGATACTAGTGCTCACTCGACTGCGCCTCCGCATGCATACCTCAGCAATTGGCTACATACACACTCAAGCTGCACCGCGAAGCGGCATGTATGGCTTTCGTAATTGTAACCGATGATGCCAGCTGAATCAGCTGCTATGGCACCGATATAGCGGAGATTGTACGCATTGCGCTGCAAAAGTGTGCAAGCGAAGGGTGTTTGAAGCGTCCATGATCTTCGGACTCTATTGCCGGGTTAATGTTATCAAATGTGTGTTTATGTGGGGATTGTAAGTAAAGTGAGTCATGTGGCCTACAAGGACAAGATGGCGGAAGCACAGCAAGTTTGAGATACACTCTACCACGACAGTTCTTGTGATCCTCACCCGTTTCATGTCGAAGAACTAAAGCTATCAACACCTCGACGTGCAGCCGCGAAGCGTTTGTGCGATGCTGTAGCAGTCGCACGGAGATATGCTGACTTTCATCGTCGTTGCTCGTTTAGGTCTTGAAACATTGTCATCGCACCTGTGTAACGCCGCTAGCAACAACAGCTATACGTACATGAAGTTGATCTGCTGTAAATGCACAATGGAATTGGCAAAGCTTCGTGTTAACGTCGTTGTCGTAATTTGCTCGACGATTAGACGATATGAAACGTCTAGAATAAATGATCCGTTTCACGCAGATGACAAGAGTAGCGGCGAGGCCTCCTCTACCCCGCGTCAGTATGCCAGCCATGCACATGAAAGTTGAGCCGAAATACGCCATCTGGAGATGTGAATAGACGCGGGAGTCTAGAAATTTTCATCAATGGAGGTCTTTTTTGGAAGGGTTTCTGCTCAATGATCAGTATGAGCTGTAAACATGACAAAAAGGCGCAATCGTTGCAAAAAGCACACGAATGAACCTGAGCGTCATCTATTCTTGATACTAAGCTCTCGATTTGGCGTCGCGCAGCACCTTTCATGTAGATCAACGCGGTACTCCGACGCCAAGGAAGATATCGTGGGCGGTCTTGATCCTAAGTTTGCATCATGCGCACTTCTTATGAACAACGTAGTTTGTGGTACGAAAAGATGAGGCGAGAACGAAAAGGTAACATTGACTAAGCTATTGGATCTCACCGAAAGGATACCCTGCACATATCTGTGCATTGCACTACTTTGGTGATCGACCGGATATATGTATACCACAGACCGTTCGCACAGTACTTTTTTGATATGTATCCCATCTGTATGTTAGAAGTGTTTGTGTCCACTCTTATGGGTTACACGCCGGCAAGTCGACTCGTTGCGCTTGTTGCCAGAAAAGTCGTACAGCTTGTTGCGTTATGCATGAATTGAACATGAAGCGAAAGCAAAAATGCTCTTGGGCCGGAATGACGAGGCGATGATATGTGCTGTTGACGAAAGTTGAAACGATCGTGTGAAAGCTGCGAAACTTTCAGCAGCTTACAAGAGCAGTTCAGCACTTTGAAATTCTTGCAGTCATTTCAAATGCATATACTCCTTTCATTGCGACAACGAGTCACGTCACTGAACATGTAGTGCGGACAATCGGATTCTGGATGAGCGAATGTTACCCAATGAGCGATGGATGGGTTGTTTACAGGTACGAGACAAAAAGTAAAAATGGATGATAGTCACACAATGGGGTCAAGCGATTCCAGACATTGTGATCGGTAGCTGCGGCAAAGCCAACGAATACCATGCAGAGTCAAGAGCAATCAGAGGAGAGTTCTATTGACATCAGATGTCGGACGAAGTCGACTAAGGTTTCGGATCGGAAGATGGAAAGCGAGAGCCTGCGCTTGCTTTCAATCTACAAACTTATGATTACGTAAGAAAAGTCTCTAAATGCATCAGTCTCTACATGCATATCTTTTTACACGGCGATGAAAGTGGCAAAAGCGGAGATCCGTAGCATCTCGCGCGTTGCAGTGCGTTCATACCTGCGATCGTAGATGCGTCACCCATAAACATACCCCAGCGTTGCATACGCTGACTTTCCAGAAGACGTGTCTGCTCGCCAGTTCCGCATCAGCGCTGTTGCAACAACTGGTACATTGCCTACGCGATGGCCGTCAAAGGTCTCGCTACATCTCATGGACCTCGCACAACATACCACACACATCAAAAGGACAACAAGCCACTCACGCAAAACTTCCATCTAATGTGCCTTCACTTGCGCTTTCAGTTAAGCTTCTTTCGTTGGCTTCAGCGCCACAGCCGTCTGAAAACAGCTCGCTACTCGCACGAATACCATCGCTTACAATCGCTCTCCACTCGTCCGAGTTCTTTGCTTGACCGAGCTTGGCGCCTTCTGCGCGGTGCAATCGCTGCGCTGTGTTGCTCTTGTTCACTCGCGCCTTCTGCGCGATACATTAACGAACATTGCAGTTTAGTTGCCAGCAGTGCTGCCGCGACGGAAGCTGAATGACTTCATCGACAACCGTGATGACGAACGCGGTGACGACGACTGCATACTGGCGGTCGATATGCTTTCCCGCGAGGTGCTCTTCACACGGCGCTTGTACACGCACGTGTCCTGATCCACACGAATACCCCACTGAAGATATTCGGCATTGGTGGCAGCTTCAAGGAACTGGTTCAGCTTCGCCACACGGTCCTGGATGATCTTTTCGGAAAAGTTGCCAAACAGCTGCTTGTTTGGCAGCTCTGGAATCTCCTTGCGTTTGTATCCATTCTTCGTCTGGAGAGTAGCAGCCAGGTTGCGGAACGTGCTGTACCGGTGCCACACATACAGCGTACCACGCGTGTTCGTCTCAATTTGCAGCTTGTACTCGACAAACTGGCGACCTTCGCGGTATGTGATTCGGCTGTCTACCACCTTGGCCGAAATGAGAGAGACCTCTTGTGACCGCACGAGCTTTGTCTGGAGCTGCAGCACCTGCTGCTTGAGGCGCTCGTTCTCACGCAGCAACTCTGCATCGGCGTATTCCGCCACATTCGACGACAACGTCGAGCGCAAGCGGTCGTTCTGTGCGACCAGCTCACGGTTCAACTCTAGAGCAGACTCAGCGGCCGATTTCGCGTCGCGCGCTGCAGATTCCGCCTCAGCAACCTTCGAAGCCGCTTCCGTGAGGGCACGAAGCGTGTGCGGTGACACAGGACCGGCTGATATTTCCTCTACGTCCTCCTCCTCTTTGTCGCTTTCATCACTCCAATCATCTTCCACTGGCTCCTGTCACACAACAATTTCCTTAGTAATGCGATGCGAGAACGACTATATCATAAACGGCGACACTCAAGCTTACCGGTTGGGGATCGCTGTGATCACGTTCCTCCATCTCCTTCTGAAGTATGCGCTCTTCGATGTCTTTCTGTAGAATGCGCTCCGCCGCCTCCTGTCGGGCAATATTGCGAAGACGTTCCCGATCCAGCTCGCGCTCCTTTCGGACACGATCGATGAGAAGTCCGAACAGGTAGCGCTGCTTCCGGCCGCGCTCAAGAGACTGCAGCTTGATCATACCGGCGCGCAGAGTACGGTAGCGTCTCGCCTGGAAGCTGCCGCGCGTCCTGGCTTGGATCTTCATTGCAGCAGTACGCTGACGCAAGAAGCGCTTGCGGTACACGAAGCCATGCAATACTTTCTGAACTAGAATCGCGTGGTCTTTGAGGATCACGTTGCGACGGTCCTCCAATCGCTGCAACAGACCCGAGCTGAAGTAGACCTTCGACGAGCCCACGGCAAATTTGGTGTTTTGCATGCTAGTAGCAATGTCGGGAACCAACTCCTTCAGCAGACCGGCAACCATCTCCGAGGGTTCCGCGTCACGCAGTGCTGATGGGCAGATGATCTGGAAACGCTGCTGGAACTCGACCAGTGGTAGACGATTCGGAAACGCAGCACGGCTGATGCGAATCGCAGCAATCACACCTGCACAGCGGAGTTGCTCCACAATCATAAGGCGGTCGAACTCGGTTGCACTCTTGTTCGCGTTCGGCTTGATACAGCGCACGTACTGCGAGGAGGTCTTGTTGATGGTCAACATCAGCTCCGACAGCTGTTTGCGGAACGCACCAGCAATCGTGTTGCCTACTAGAAAACCCTTCTGACGACCCTCTTTGCCGTTCTTGCCACGGCTGTTGCGCTTGCCCGTCTTCGTGGGTGTAAAGATACCTGAAATGACATCGTTGTGGCTGCCCGATAACAGCTGCACCATATCCGTAGGCAGTGTGTCTTTGTTCTTCTCGAGAAAGCCCGCACCGTTGTACGTCACGTCTCCAGCATAATGGTGGATGATGAACTCCAGTGGATTGATGCGGTTCTTCTCAATGCTCGGGTGGTCGCTACAAGCGTCGAGCACTTTACTCACAAGAGTGCTGTCTGTGGCCTGCGGGCGGAGCACTTCCTCATTCAGCATACTGACGATGCCCATTCGGCCTTCAATCAGGTCTAAGATCGGCTGATTGTCTTCAAACGTCACCAACGTCAATGGAATGCCTTCGTCCACGTACTCTTGCTGCACATCCTTAAATACGTCACTGTTGAACTTCTGCTGCAGCTTCTCGTTGGCGTAATTGATGCACAGCTGCTCGAACCCGTTCTGGTCAAAGCTCTCGAAACCAAAGATGTCCAACAGACCAATGTGCGTCTTGACATTGTTCGTCGAGCAAATGGCCTTGTTAATGCGGTGCACGAGCCAGTCGAAGAGCTGTGTGTACATGCCCTTTGCCAGCGCGTCGCGCAGGTCCGACGCCTGTTCAGCGTTCAGCGGAATCGTGTACGACTCGGAACCAGCGGTAATCGATCGCTCGAGCAACGTCGAGTGGAGCGCGGCGCTCTTGGTCCCGAGGAGCGCACCGACATTGTCGACAATGTCCTCGTTGCTCACGTGGCTCTTTTCACTGTCGTTTGCGTTCGGCGCAAACTCGACTTCGCCGAGGTTCAAAATCGCGGCAACAATCTCAAAAATCGCATTCTGTTCGTCCGTCGAGATGCCAATAGTGTCCAGCGCGTCCTGCGTCTCTTTCAAGCACTGGACATCGTCAATGCCCGTGAGCTGCGCACTGGCCCCTTCGGCCACGTACTTGTAGCTCGTGACGTCGCCGTGGAGCCTGAGCTCTTGTTTCCGCGCGTCCGACAAGCAAAAGATCTGGTAAAACACGTGGTAGTTGCGCTCGCCTTCGGTCTGGCCCACGACGCGGCTCTTTTCGAGCAAGTACGTCTCGCAGAGACAGCCCACGAGCGACCCCATTGTGTCAAACTGGAGCTGGGCAAACTTGCCAAAGCGACTCGAGTTGTCGTTGCGCTTGGTCTTGGCGTTGCCAAACGACTCGAGCAGCGGGTTTGACTGCAGCACTTGGTCAATCACCGTCGTGCCGTGGTGGCCGCCGCCCGAGATGGACGCCAGGAAGTTCATCATGATCTTGACCGTCTCGGTCTTGCCCGCGCCCGACTCGCCGCTCACGAGGATGCTCTGGTCCACCTGCGTGCGCTTCATGTCCGTGTAGGCCGTGGCCGAGAGCGCGAACGGGTGCGGCGGCAGACTCTCGCGCGGCTGCTCGAGGTACGGCGCGTAGAGCTCGCGGCCGTAGAGGTCGAGCCACTGGTACGGGTTCACGGCGATGCAGATCGCGCCCGTGTACGTGTACGGCAGTTTCTTGGCAAACCGCAGCTCCAAGTTCTTCAGCACCGCGGGTTCGTGCAGGTGGTTGAGCGTGCACATGTCGCACGCGCCGTCGGCTTCAAACACGTTGCAGATGGGCATTGCGTCGTCGGCGACTTCGCCGGCCAAGCGCGCGATCGCGCGGATCGTCACGACGTGCTCGACGCCGTCGTCGGGGTCGTAGGCGCTATCGTCCTGCGCCTGGAGCCGCACGAGCGCGCGCGCGCCGTCGTCGAGGCGCCGCACGACGACGGCCTTTTTCCACACGTGCTGGTCGTGCGGGACCCAGACCATGGCGCCGTCGTCGAGCATGCGGCCAGCAGCAGCAGCGGCGGCGGCGGCGGCGTCTTCGGCCATGGGAGCGAGAGGGCGGGCGGGCGGGCGGGAGGAAGGGCGGGCGCGCGCGCAGGGGGCGGGAGGGGGCGCGGGAGTGTTGGTCGGAGACTGGAGAGTGATGGTCGTCGGGCGGGCGCGGGCCAAAAAGACTTTTGGACCGTTACGGACGACGACAGCAGCAACAACAGCAGCAACAGCAGCAACAACAACAACACCGACGACAGCAACAACAACAGCAACAACAACAACAACAATACCAACGACGACGAGAGAGTGCGCGTTGCGTTGTCGCGTCGTTGGTGGGGTGGTGGGGGTGGGGGAGTGCGTGCGTGGGGGCGAGAGTGAATGTTTTTGCGATTTCGTCCGACTGACTCTCGCGGGCGCGGGCAAGTCGACAGAAACGAGGCGAAAGGAGGGGTGAATCAAGCCGACCGACGGTGCGGGCAGGAAAAGCACGCGTCGTCGTCGGGGATTGGACGGACGCAGCCGCAGCAGTTGCGAAAGGCAGAGAGAGAGAGAGAGCGAGCGAGCGAGCGAGCGACAGGTGGAAAACGGAGGAGGTCGCTGCTGCTGTTGAAGTAAAGCGGAGCGAGTTGATCTTCTCTTTTCTACGCACGCCACGTGACATCCGTTTTGGAGTTGGGCTTCGAGTCGTCTGACTCGTTGCGCGAAGCAGGTGCTGCTTGGCCGTTTCTCCCGTCCGTAACCGCTCACGCATCGAATCAGCGCGAGGCTCTCGTTTCGGTTGCCCCGCGGGTTGCTGTGCTTGAGTCTGGTTGTGACATAGGACTAACCCCCGTGGCTCGATGTGTCTAGCCAAACGGCGATATATGTCGACGCCAAGTTGCCGCGTCGTTCGATAGAATGCCTTCCATTGTGTCGTTCGCTCGAGGAAAGAAGCGATGAGATGGAGCAAAAAGTCGTCGATGTCAATCGACGAGAAACGAATCAGTTGAAGCGGCACGAAGCGAGCGCGTTGTTGACATTTCTGAACGCTCTCTCGCGTTCTCGCTCTCTTTTTTATCCTATTCGATAGGACACGACCCTAAATTTGACATTGTGGACTATTTTCGAGTGCGGGAAAAGCGATAGGCGTTGTTGACGTGAACGAGGTCCGCGGCTCTGACCGCACAGCTCTTGACTGCTGCGCGACATCGTAAGGTCGTCGGTTCGTCGTCACAAAAAATAGGCGTTTGCGACGGTGTCGTGTGATTAGTCATAGCAATTGCACTCATAACTATATTCGATTCGTCGTGGGGTCCGAGCGACTTTGGGGGGTCTCGTGCAGCTCGATACAAAAAAAAACGGTGCAGGACGTTCTTCGCACCTTTGCTCGCATAAAATGTGCAAAAGAGCATTCTTATTCTCGCTCTCGGTAAAACGCTGGCAAATTTGCTACCAAACGACCTCCTTGGGTCGAAGCAAACACTGCGAAATAAACCCGCGCATTTGCCCTCTTTCATCAGCATATTCGCGCTCGAGGTCGTTAGCGGCAGCAATGTACAGACATTTATCCACCACTGTGGCACTCGCTACCAAATTGCGAGCTCTGTCTCGTTGCTGAGCTTTGCTAAGAAACTTCAGCAATCATTCGAGAGATGAGTTGGTGCCAGCGAGTGCAAAGCTGTTCGCCACGTCGGGAGCATCTGGTAGACAAACACCGTGTCGTAGACACCTACCAGATGATTCGAGCAAGTGGCTGTCCGGATCGCGGATAGCGTCGAGTTAAATCGGACGAGATCAAAGACACACAATCACGCGACCGCTGGAGTTACAATCGTAAACGCCGATGTCGGCACGTATTTTTGTGGATGACGAGGAGACAGCAAAAAAGACCGACGATAGCGTACGAAGTGCAAGTGAGCGCCTGAGCTGACAGTAGGAGAGATATCCGTATCGTGGCACGAGTTCGTTTACCGGTCGAACGAGGTCGTGAGCTCAGGTAAGCGTCTCAACTTTGGCTCGTTGTGGGAGAAATGGGGCGTCCGTCCACTAGGAAGTGGCTGCGTCGCATTCTCTTTCGTGTCTGCTTGATAGCTGTCCTTGACATCATCAACAGTGCCAAGATTACGAGTACGATGTCGCAGCTGGTGGTGCTGAACGTGTCGACATTCACACCAGTCACTTCTTTGGTTGACACGTTACATGGTGAACGCGATTCTGTGGCTCCAACACGACACGCCGCGACAGAAAGCGCTGTGGCATAGGACAATCTCTCCATCTGGAATCTCATATGCGTCCTCTATGACAGACCTTGCGCTCAACAAGGTGTAACATGGGCGACCGCAAGTGCTCAGCCGAAGGCTTCAGTAGTAACGGTTTGCCCGTCTTGCAGACTCCCATTGAGCCCGTTAGTATACGTGCGTATGCCGACGGGCTCAATGGATGGCCTACTGACGAATGTATGGACCTGCTTCGTACATGTTGACTGCTGCGGTTGTGACTGGTTCTCCTGGCTCAGCTGACAGAGGTGTTCAGGCGGCATCTCGTGGTGGCACATATGCCTTACGGGATCGTTGACACAGAGCACTACGCTATATTATTCCTGCACAAAAACAAAGTGTGCCATGCTGTGGCTCGTCTCGACAGCGCATCGTCGTGAAAGTGGCCCAAGTGAGCGAGACAAACGTCTCTTTTGACCCGGCCAGACCGCAGATCCGACTTCGAAGAGCACATGTGCATACTGTATGTGCTCTGCCACAAAACGCAATCGATACGATCGCTCTTTACTTCACCAAAGGGTTGTCATGGGGCACGAGAGACTTCATCGGCGCTCATCTCATCTGAAAAAGGCGACTCGCGTAGACGCACCGATTGCCGTATTACGTCAGACACATGCGCTTGTCAACACACCTGCGCTTGATTCCTCTAGCAATCGGTCAAGTGCCTCGTATAGATCTACACGGGGTATAGTGCTATGCCCCTCGGAACGCTTGCTTGGTACTTCTACTTGCGTACATCTGGCACTATTGCAGTACCAAAGGCACATCTTTGCTAGGGCATGAGCAACAGACGGACGATAGTTGCATTCAGAAGCTTACGGCACACTCAATCGGTACTTGCAGTCATCCGACGAACCACAAGTGCCAGCAGCACGTCCCTTGAGACGCTCAGGTAGGTTCAATCATCCCCCATCTCCCCTTAACTGTTGCTGAGCCTGTGCCCACAAGGAGTCAGGCAGAGGTCGAGACGAAAGAGACATACTACCCTTATCCGTGTTTTGCGTAGCTGGCGGAAGCTATACAGGCGCGACGATACTATACAGCTACAGCAAGTGATACCCAAACAACAACAAACATAGCCGAAAACCACGGCAACAATCGGATACACAAGTCAAGACGGGTGGCATTCAAGTTCAAATATAACGTCCGACATTGAGCCAACGATTAGAGTAGCACATGATCCGCACGTATTGCAGCATCAACTGGACTCGGGACAGGTTGTTCGCTGCTTGCCCCAGCACCTCACACGACTCTACTTCTCTTCCACCAAAGGTGAAGAGACAAGAAGCGTGTGACCCGAGCAAGACCACCGACGACGACAATCAGCCGTGTTTTTCGCCGCACTTTTTCGCACAGCACTTGGAGAAACCGGCTTCATTCAGTTTGCCATCCTTCGTGTGCCCATCACGGCATCCCTGGCTGATGTCCACGTTGGCTTTCGAAGTCGGAGGAGGGCAGACCTTGTTCGAGCAGGACCGATAATCCGCCTTGGCTGCAATGGCGGCGCTACCAGCGACAAGAAGTAGAAGAGCCGTCTTAGCGTTCATGTTCTTGCTGGAAGAATCGGCGGTAGTCGAGTCTGAGGTGTGACGAGTTTGACACAATGTGCGAAGTGACACGTGCGACTGCACTGCTCCAAGTTAGTCACGAGCGCCACGCAACGCGTCGAGCACTCGCGTCAGGATGGGGACTGTCTGGGAACGAGCCAGTAGATAGAGAAGGAGCGATGCTGTACCGTCGCTACTGGAGCTCAGTTTAGCAACGGGCAAACGACAGTGGGCGGTCGATGTCTGACTCTTTGCCACACACACTCGGGACAAGCGGTCGTGCGTACGAACGGGTTCTTCTTATCCATGACCTGCTACTGCGTAACGATATGGTCGCAAGCTCACGAGCGCACAATGCGTCGACCGACTGCCGCATGTGAGTAGAATCGAGTCCCTCGTGCTGGGAAATGCTAGCGATCAAACGACGCTTTGGTGTTGATCGAGGCAGCGTGGCGCTTGAAACGCGTCAATGTTTGCGTATTGTATGGGAACGAGCGAGGCTGGCAGCTTGATCGACATTCATTGGGAAATGCTCCGAGCATGTGGGATGGTACAGAGTAGGAAGCGTAAGACGGCACTGAGGATAACGCCCGAGTAGCACATATGCTTCCTTTTCAGTTAGGTTGAAGCGCATCGTAATGTAATGTAGCGAGGGTGGAATCGATGAAGTACGCCAGACATACTCCCCCTCTAGACTGTTTGAGCGTAGCACTGCTTATACATGACTAGCAGACTCGTGTCCTCCATCGACGTCGCACCGGCAGTGGGCTTGGACGATCGTAAGGAGCTTCAGTGTATACACGTGTACACTTGTAGATCGCAGGCATGTCACGTTGACTGGCCTAGCGAAGAGATACTGACGGACAGCCGGCTACAATGATGCGAGCATCCGAACGGCCACGCTGAGCATGCACTATCTAATAGCTTAGGCGCTCTTAAAGGTAACACCACTTGGCTTGTTTGAATGTTGTAGTGCGCTGTACGTGGCAACAAGCAAAGTGACATACATTGTTGATCTCGCATACATGTACACAACGTGCTTAAGGCACAAGGAGAAACGCTTTCACGGAAACCCTCCTTTACCGTCATGACTTCTGCCGACCCCATTAATAATCAATCAACTGGTCGCGCACTTCTAGTCTCTTCGGTCGAGCCCAGGTAGTCAGATAGAGACGTGAGCTTCCGTTACCCAAAAGAATCGAGGAATCGCTCTGCTTCCCAAACTCACGCTTTGTAATTTCACACGTCTTGA